ATATCATATATTTCATATACTGAATGAACTAAAGAAAATACATATCTAAATTAATCTAAAATTAAATATACTTCGCGAATTATTACAAAGATCAAAATGAGAACTCTATCAATAATCAAGGATCAAAAGTGTTGAAATAAATGGTCAAAAGTATAAGAAGAAAATGCCCTCTTAAAACACGAGATGAATACTGAAAATAGGGCCCACACAACCCGTACTTTTGACTGCCCCATTGTCGCAATTTCCCTCTTTCCACAAAAACATATAAATACCCCTCATTTCCTTTCTTCCTTTCTTCACAAAAACCATCACACAGAAAACACGGAATTTCAACGAACTTTAATCAGAGCGTAAAAGCAACCGGAAAAACGATGTCTTGTGCCGTCGCCATTTCAAATTCACCGGCGTTCTCGCCGGCGTCTAGGGTTCCGGTGACCAAATCTCTCTGTAAATCAGCTTCATTTTCTTCTTCTTCTCCTAATTCATCTAAAACCCTAACGAAATTCCCTTCCTTTACCTCCTCCTCCTCCTCTTCTTCTTCTTCTTCTTCTTCTTCTCCTTCTTCTCCGTCTTTACAATTTCAAATTCTTCGGCTTCAGAAGCCGTTACAGGCATCAGCATCGACTAACCGTATTAGAAATTCTACAGAATGTTCTACTTCTGCGCCGGTTTTGAAGAGGAAAAGACCGGCTAAATTGGATATTCCGGTAGTTTCGACGACTTTTGGGAATTTCCCGGCGACTCCGGCAGCAGCGACGGCGGATTTTGTGGAGGTTGAGGGCGATGGGTATTATGTTTGTTGTAAGCGTGGTAGGAGAGGTCCGATGGAGGATCGTTACTCTGCACTTGTCGATTTACAAGGAGATTCTAAAGAGGTACTAATTTTTAGCTCATTCTATTCATTTCTTAAGCTCATTTTGCTTAGATAAGACGGGCTCTTTTTCTTTTTTCTTTTTTTTTTTGTGAATTCAAGTTATATGCACTGACAATGCAAAAATTATTTAGGCACTCATGTCACATATGAGTTAATTATATTTTAATCTCTATGATAACGAGTTTAAGTGTGCACTGACGGTGTAAAATATATTTACGTAATAAGGTCACTTATAGAGTAATTACCGGTAAATCTCGTGATAAACATAATTTGTAACCTGGTAATAACTAACAGGTTAAATATTACTTAGTCACTGATGTTTGTTTCATACGGTCAGTATATATAACGTAAATCTTGTTTAAGAAAAGTATTTATTACCTTAGAAATTAGACCAAGTAGAGCAGTATGAATATTGAGGATTCTTATAGCCGAACCTAATTAGTTTGGGATTGAAGAGTAGTTGTAGTCCTTGTTGTTGTTTACTGTGTTGGGTGAGAGTTTGGCTGGAAATCATCCTTTTTATTAGCTGTCTTTTTTATATTGAAGTTGTTGTGTTTGAGAAGAAGTGACTAGAAAAAGGAAAAAGAATCTGTAACTATAAAAAATGTAGTTGGAAGGAAACTATCAAGTGTTTGATTTTGTAGTCTTTGGAAAATTAAGATATTGTTCTCCCAATAAATAAATAAATAAAACTCCATTGATTAGAGTAATATTCTAATGTAAATCTTAGTATACCATGCTGTATGTGATTGGTTGAATGCAGTTGAAACTGACCCAGGGTTTACTTGTTTCAGGGTATTTTTGGTATATTTGATGGACATGGAGGAGCTAAAGCTGCAGAATTTGCAGCAGAGAACTTGAATAAGAACATTATGGATGAATTAGTAAATAGGAAAGATGATGATGTCGTGGAGGCGCTCAAAAATGGTTATTTGAAGACAGATTCCGAATTTCTTAACCAAGAATTTCGGGGTGGATCATGCTGTGTAACAGCACTGGTCAGGAACGGTGATCTAGTGGTATCCAATGCTGGCGATTGTCGTGCAGTTGTTAGTCGGGGTGGGATTGCTGAAACACTGACTTCGGACCATAAGCCTTCAAGGAAGGACGAGAAGGACAGAATTAAGACTTCGGTGAGCAACTTGACCATGAATTCATGCTTCTTTTTGCCTTTTGCCAAATTGATTAGCTTATATTTTCTGTATAGTTGTTGATTCTATCATGCTTTACTGTTCTGTAGGGTGGCTATGTAGATTGTTGTAATGGTGTTTGGAGAATCCAGGGATCTCTTGCTGTGTCAAGAGGTATTGGAGATCGGTATCTTAAACAATGGATAATTGCAGAGCCTGAGACAAAGGTCGTCGGGCTTCATCCTGAATTGGAGTTCTTAGTTCTTGCTTCGGATGGTTTATGGGATAAAGTCAGCAATCAGGAAGCAGTAGATGCTGCTAGGCCTTTGTGCACAGGCATCAGTAAGCCACAACCCTTGTCGGCCTCAAAAAGCCTCATTGATCTTGCTGTTTCACGAGGTTCTGTTGATGATATAAGTGTGATGATAATTCAACTGCAGCAATTTTGCTGACTCTCCCAATTTAGGTCAGAGAAGAAACTGTTTAATAGTTGGCGCAAAGATGGATTAGTCGGACCTCCGGGTTTCAGTTATCAGATGTCTGAAAAATGTTGGCGAGCTGATGAATTCTTTCTCAACTAACTTCCCAGAACAATAATGAAGATTATAACAAGAAAATTTTGCTTGTAAAAAGTTGTAGGATACCTCTGTAAATTGGATAGTTTTCAGATATTCTTTACCTTTCCTCCTAATCCCCGTCTGTAATTCTTGTAAAATTTGTGTATACTTTTACGATGTATAGCAGATTGGTGAATGATGAGCAAAACTCTTTGTTATTCATTGCTTCTGCAACGACAACACATCCAGTGTAATCTCACAAGTGGGGTGTGGGGAGAATAGTGTGTATGCAGCTTTATCTATACCTTGTGTAGGTAGAGAAGTTGTTTCTGATAGACCTTCGGCTCAAATAATCATGCCAGAATAGAGAATGAAATGCAGTAGTGAAAAAGTCAAAGAAGCAGTAATAACAACAAGATAATAGAAAAACCAAATCAAAAGCAACATTATCAGGTATTCATAGAAATCTAAGAATATGGAAATACGACAATAACGCTACTAGTACTGAAATGAAAGGAAAGACGCTAGAATGCTTACTATCCTTTTACCCTAATTCTCGACTTTCACACCCTCCTATCAAGGGTTATGTCCACGGTAAGCTGGAGATACGCCACGTCCTACCTAATCTCCTCTTCGCATGCCCGAACCATCTTAGCATCGTGATGGGATGCCAAAATGCTATGCTTTTAGCACACTACTCGCCCTATATTTTATTGGTCTAATGAGTTATTGTGCGATATTTAAGCTAAATTATGTTGTTTTATGTGTAGGAACATCGGAAGGAATCACCAAATGAAAATTGCATAAAAAGAGGACAAAAATACAAGAAAAGAGCACAAAAGTATCAAGTATCCAAACTGTGCTACAGATCAGGTTTTGCAAGGTCTATAGCCAGGTTAACTGTGCTATAGACCAAGCTTTGCGAGGTCTATAGCCAGGTCAACCGCGCTATAGACCAGGCTTCGCGAGTTCTATAGCCAGGTCGACCGCGCTATAGACCAGGTTTCGCGAGGTCTATAGTACGGTAATTAAAAGTCGCAGGTTAAAAGACCCAAACCCGAAATTGGACTGAGGGATTGACATAAATACTCCCCAAATGAGTTATTCTAGGATTGGACATGATTTTGGAGAAGAAATAGGTTGTCAAGCATTGTGGAGCAAGAATCAAACGAGTTTTCCCTTCCTTTATCTCTTTACTTTGTATTTTCATGTCTTTAAACATTATGTTGATTGTTGTTGTATTTATGAGTAGCTAAACTCTTTAATCTAAGGTTTGATGGAACCTATTGGAGGATGATTCTCTACTGCGTTTAATATAGATTTGCCTTTGATTTTTCTCTACTTGTTCAACTATATTTCCATTGTTGTTAATTGAATGGCCATCAATTAACTATGCCTATTTAGTGTGTGTATATTGCTCGAGAGAGAGAGATAGTGCACATTTAGGTAGTTGTTGAACAACACCACTCCTAACGTAGTTGAGAGATCGATACGGAGGGTTTAAAGGCGGGATTAGAGATAACGAAGCCTTGGTGCGATCGTCGTGAGCGGTAAATTAGTGCCAGCTAGCGTAGTTCGAGAGAATGCGTCTAGTAAATTATAGTAGTTACTCGAGAGAGAGTTACGACACTTAAAGTACTCACGATCGGTAGAAAATATTTAGGCGAATTTATAGGAAACATAACGGGGAAGATTCTGACAATAAGGGAAATCATAACCTTAGACTTTTTCAAATCTTGTCTATAATATTTGCCTTGTTAGTTATAAATTACTGCATTTTTAATTACTTTGATCTTAGTTAGAAAACTCTTAAATTCTTTTATAATATTTCTGAAGGTTGATTACTTGAATTCGTGCAAAATTATTAGTTGTAATCAACACGTTATTTTCCTGTGGGATTCGACTCCGGACTTGTAAACCGGATTATACTTGTAACGGCCGCTAGATTTCTTAGGAGGCATAGTTGGGCGTGATCAAATTTTGGCACCGTTGCCGGAGAAATCAACAGTGTTACTAATTACAGCTATAAGAATTTGTAGGATTCTTAGTTTAGTCAATTTTCTCCATTTTTATTCATTACATTGAAATTCTAATGTTTGTGGTCTTGTGTGTTATAGGTGTATGCTTAGAAACTCTTCAAAAACTGGTAAATTATTTGAAGCATTACCGGATCCTGAGAAAACTTTCAAGGTATTAAATCGTGCAAACAAGAAAGATAAACAACAACATCACCCAAGAGAACAAATTGAACCAGACATAGGTGACTCTTTGGATAATCAAAACAATCGAAACAATATGAATAGCCCGAACAATCAAGGTGTGGCACCTCTTGTGCCAGAAGCAGCTTTGTATGATTGGGTACAACCCACCGCTGAAACTTTGGCAGCTGCAATTGCAGTCCCTCGGATATAAGAGGAGTCATTTCAAATCACAAACAACATGCTACATCTGCTGCAAAATAAAGGATTGTTCTCCGGGTCTTACATTGAAGATCCACAGCAGCATCTGAAAAATTTTCTGCCGATTTGTGTCACGCAAAGGCAACTGAATATGACACCGGAAGCAATAAGACTATTGTTGTTTCCATTCTCAGTGACAGGAGAAGCCCAGACTTGGCTTAATTCGCTCTCCATAAATTCCATTACCACTTGGGAGGAATTAGTCAAGCAGTTTTTGAACAAGTTTTACCCACCAAATAAGACCGCCAAGCAAGTTGATGAAATATTGAGCTTCAGGCAGAAACCAGCTGAAACATTACAAGAAACGTGGGAGAGGTTCAAAGGTATGCTGGTTAAGTATCCACATCATGGCATTCCAGATCAAATGTTGGGACAACAGTTTTACATGGGATTGGCGGATAATTTGAAGGCCAATGTTGATACTTCAGCAGATGGAGCATTTTTGAGAAAGTCATTTAGAGAATGTAAGATCCTACTAGATAAAATAGCTCAAAACTCAGGATGGATGTGAAGAGACACTACAATCACCCCTATAGTTCACTCAGTATCATTAGACCTGAACAACTCCATAGCCGAGAATATGGCTACTCTGATGACACAAATGAGTATCCTCACCAAGAAGATTGATGAATCAGGTGAGAAGCAGGTACACATAGTTGACACGACTAATGGGGGATTATGTACACCATGCATTAACCAACCATACGTGTGTTCGTGGAGTGGTGAAAGTGACAACCAGAATTATCAAGAGAACATGAACTATGTGGGCAACTATGGAGGCAAGAGTCAAGATGGTCAGAATTGTGGGAAGCAAAATCAGCAATATAGACCAGCACATCAACAATACAATAACACCAACAATCCTGGAGCTATGCGACCACAGGGTCAAGTAGTACCTTACCAAATGCAACAGGGGTACAGTTAGCAAAATCAGCAGCTAGCTTATCAACAACCTCAACAACAACAGCTAGTGAGACAAGATAATGGGTTGTCTGAAATTAAAGGAATGTTGCAGCAACTGATTGGGTCTAATGGAAAAATGCAAGAGAAGGTGGAAGCACATGAGTCAGCCATAAAAGGCATTGAGATTCAATTATGGCAGATATTTATGGCTCTGAATAATCATCCCTAAGGGACTTTATCTGCAGACACACATGTCAATCCGAAGGAGCAGGGCCCGAATCAGCTTATGGCGCTGAGCTTGAGAAATGGTAGAGATCTTGATTTAGAGCAAGAAATTGCTCGTGAGAGTCGGTCAACTAAAACACTTGTGACAGTGCCAATTGAGTTAGATGAGTCAACTGAGCTAACATAAGTAAGAGTGCAACCAGCCCAAGAGGAAATAAATAAGCAAAAAGAGGTTACGGAGGAGACTTAGAAAGTGCAGGAAAAGGCATTAGAAAAAGTGCCTGAGCAGGATCTAACTCAAGCTACAGCAAAGAAGCGACCTCCGGCACCCTTCCCGCAGAGGTTGGCCAAATATCAGAAGGATGAACAGTACAAAAAATTCATGGAAATGCTGAAGCAAATTCAGGTAAACATTCCTCTAATTGGTGCTTTGAGGGAGATGCCCGGTTATGCAAAAATGATGAAGGACTTAATGTCTCGTAAGTTTGACTTCCAAGACTTGGCAACTATCACATTGACACAGACTTGTAGCGCTGTTGTGTCAAGACCTATAGCTAAAAAGTTATCTGACATTGGAAGCTTCACAATTCCATGCACCATATGTAGCTATGCATTTACAAAAGCATTGTGTGATTTGGGAGCAAGTATAAATCTGATGCCATTGTCTATCTATAAAAAGTTAGGCATTGGAAGAGCAAGGCCCACATCCATATTACTGCAACTAGCTAACCGAACGGTGAAAAGGGCATCAGGTATACTTAACGATGTACTTGTGAAAGTTGGAAAATTCGTGTTTCCAGCAGATTTTGTCATTCTAGACTACAAGGTTGATGATGAGATTCCCATAATTTTGGGAAGGCCGTTCTTGGCCACAGGGATATCTATGATTGATTGTGAAATGAAGGAGCTGAAGATGAGGCTAAATAATGAAGAAATAACATTTAATGTGCAAAAGTCTATGCGGCGACCCAGTGAGTTTGCAAATTGAACTTTGTTAGACACGATGGATGTAATCATGGAGGAAGATGATGATGCACTTAAAGAAAAAGACCCTCTAACAGCCTGCCTTATGAATTTAGAAGAAGTAAATAGTGAGGACTTGGCGGAATGGGTGTTGGCTCGTCAAGGGCAAGGGTACTGGAAAAGAGAGCTCGAATTCGAGCCTTTACACTCGGAAGAAATAAAGAATCCTCCAGCCAAGCCATCGATCAAAGCATCACCACAATTGGAGCCGAAACCACTACCATCTCACCTGAGGTATGCTTTCTTGGGACCTAACTCGACTTTACCTGTTATTATCTCATCTGGTTTGTTAGATGTGCAGGTAGAACAACTTTTGCAGGTGTTAAAAGAGTACAAGACTGCAATTGGTTGGACTATTGTGGACATTAAGGGTATTAGCCCGACCTTCTGTATGCATAAAATTCTACTGGAAGATGGGCACAAACCTTCCAGAGAACATCAAAGAAGGCTGAACCCTAACATGAAGGAAGTTATAAAGAAGGAAATGATCAAGTGGTTAGATGCGGGAATTATTTTTCCCATCTCAGATAGCAACTGGGTTAGCCCAGTTCAATGTGTGCCAAAGAAAGGTGGTATGACTGTTGTGCAAAACAAAAACAATGAGTTGATCTCAACAAGAATAGTTACGGGATGGCGAATTTGCATGGACTATAGAAGATTGAACAAGGACACCCGAAAAGATCATTTTCCCTTGTCGTTCAGTTATCAGATGCTAGATAGATTGGCATGGAGGTCTCATTTTTGCTTCTTGGATGGATATTTGGGGTACAATCATATATCTATTGCCCCGGAGGATAGAGAGAAAACGACATTCACCTGTCCATATGGCATTTATGCTTTTCGAAGAATGCTGTTTGGCCTATGCAATGCACCTGCCACGTTCCAAAGGTGCTTGATAGCTATCTTCACAGATATGGTAGAGGATATAATGGAGGTTTTCATGGATGATTTCTCAGTGGTGGGAAATTCTTTTGATGATTGCCTTAGAAATCTGAAAAGATTATTGCAGAGATGTATGGAGACTAATCTGGTGCTAAACTGGGGAAAATGCCATTTCATGGTATAGGAAGGTATAGTCTTGGGACACCTAGTGTCAAGTAAGGGCATTGAGGTGGACCGTGCTAAAGTCGATGTAATAGAGAAGCTACCACCACCCACTTCTGTCAAGGCAATAAGGAGTTTCCTTGGTCATGCCGGTTTCTACAGGCGTTTTATAAAAGATTTTTCCAAGATTGCTAACCCTTTGTGTAAATTGCTTGAAAAAAATCACCCTTTTGTGTTTTCAGACGACTGCATGGTAGCTTTTGAGGGATTGAAGAAGAGGTTGGTGTCTGCACCTATCATAGTTGCCCCCGACTAGGAGCAACCATTTGAGCTGATGTGTGATGTAAGTGACCATGTTGTAGGAGCAGTACTTGGACAGAGAAAATATAAAATCATGCATCCGATCTACTATGCAAGTAGAACATTAAATGGGGCTCAACTGAATTACATAGTGACATAAAAAGAGATGCTAGTTGTGGTGTTCGCATTTGACAATTTTCGGTCCTACTTGATAGGCTCGAAAGTAATTGTTTATACTGACCATGCTGCTCTCAGGTACCTAATTGATAAGAAGAAGTAAAAGTCATGCTTGATTAGATGGGTCCTACTGCTGCAAGAGTTCGGCTTTGAAATCCGTGATCGAAAAGGAATGGAGAACCAAGTTGCCGATCACTTGTCCTGGCTTGAAGGAGCCGAAACGAAGGAGGAGGTGAAGGAGATCATGGAGACTTTCCCCGATGAACAACTGTTAGTCACGAGCCTTGAGGAAGTGCCATGGTATGCATACATTGCAAACTACCTGGCAAGCGGTATTGTTCCCTATGAATTATCTTCTGTGCAGAAGAAAAAGTTCTTTTATGATTCTCGCATGTATTTCTGGGATAAACCATATTTGTTTCAGATTTGTATTGATAACATGATCCGGAGATGTATTCCCGAGATAGACCAAGCTTCTGTTTTGAAGGCATGTCATGCTTTGCCGTATGGAGGTCATTTTGGAGGAGTAAGGACAGCTGCTAAAGTGTTGGAGTCGGGCTTCTATTGGCCGACATTGTTTAAAGATGCACACTTTTGGGTAAAGAATTGTGATGAGTGACAAAAGACGGTGAATATTTCTCATCGACATGAGATGCCCATGAACCCAATTCAAGAAGTAGAAGTATTTGATGTATGGGGAATCGACTTTATGGGACCATTTGTCAACTCATACAACAACAAGTATATACTCGTAGCAGTGGACTATGTCTCGAAATGGGTAGAAGCTGTAGCACTCCCAACAAATGATGCAAAGGGAGTTATTGGTTTTCTAAAAAAAAATATCTTCACCCGATTTCGAACTCCAAGGGCGATCATCAGTGATGGAGGAACTCACTTCTGCAATCGAGCCTTCGCAAAGTTGCTGCAAAAATATAGCGTACGTCATAAGGTTGCCACTCCGTATCACCCACAAATAAGTGGGCAAGTTGAGGTGTCAAACAGAGAAATCAAGAGTGTTTTGACCAAAACTATAAATGCGACTTGGACTGATAGGGCGAGAAAATTGGATGATGCACTATGGGCCTACCACACTGTATTCAAAACTCCGATTGGTATGTCACCGTACAAATTGATGTTTGGGAAGGCGTGTCACTTACCAGTGGAACTAGAGCATAGAGCTTTTTGGGCATTAAGACAATTAAATCTTGACATTGAGGCCGCTGGCACGAGTAGAGTCACAGAGCTTCATGAACTTGATGAACTCCGTTATCATGCTTTTGAAAGCACCAGGATGTACAAGGAAAGGATGAATATCATGCATGATAAGCATATTCAAAAGAGTATTTTCAAACCCGGAGATGTCGTGTTGTTGTATAATTCAAGATTGAAACTATTTTCGGGTAAGCTAAAATCTAGATGGTCAGGACCATTTAGAGTGGTGCAAGTACTCTCAAGTGGATATGCAGAAATTGAATCCGAGGATGGAACGAACAGGTTTAGAGTCAATGGGCAAAGGTTAAAACATTACCTCGGCATGGAGCACAAAAAAGTTGTATCGGTGATTCATTTGAAGGAGCCTCAAATATTGAGTGAACCTTAAGTTCGACAGCCTGCGTCATGTCGCGACGTTAAATCAGGCTCTCGTTAGGAGGCAACCCAATTCGTAGGTTATTTTAGCTTAAATATAAATTTTTGTTTGTTTTATGCACTAACAAGTTTTTAGCTAAATCTTGGTACCTGAACAGGTAATGGAGCACGATGGAAAGTCATGGCGCTTGGAGTTTTTCACAAAACGAAATAAAAATTACATGGGTATGCTCCAAATAACGGTGCGTACCTCGCGTCACCCAGTTTAATGCACAGCGCACCTGGAAGCAAACCTTGCATCGCAAACATTTTACCTCGTGGCATAGCTTGCATCGCCTGCTACCCAGCGTGCTTTCTAGCTCGTGTCGCCCAGTCTTCAGCGTGCTATAAAACTCGCCCAGCGAGGGTTATAGCGAGACCAATATCGTGGAAGCCTCGCGTTGCAAGGGAAATAGCGAGCAAAACCTAGCAGCAGATCTCGCATAGCCAGGAAAGAACCTCGCATTATGCCTTGCGTCGCCTGCTTCGCAGCTCGCTAAGGAGCTCGCCTCGCCAGGTAAGTTTCTCGCTGGGAGCTCGCATCGCCAGGTTCTCAGTATGTATTAGAGATCGACTTGCACGGTCCTTTGCTCACTGATATCCTAGCCAGCCATGTTTCTAGCTCGCTATTGGTTTCGCCTGGCCATCTCCCATTTTCGCTGTAAAAACTCAGTTGTCCAGCCCCCATGCACGCTTCAGAGATCGCCATGGACCTCACATCACCTACTATCCATTGCTCGCTTGGGAGCTTGTCCAGCCTAAGCACAACGAACCACCCCCTTTCTCACTAAACACCACACGTCGACAAGTCTTAAGCATGCTATAGAGCTCGCCCGGCGAGGGATTAAGCGAGGTCAATCTCGCAGCATAGCTTGCATCGCCTGCTGCCCAACGTGCTTTCCAGCTCGCATTGCCAGGTAATTACCTCGCGTTTAACCTCGCGTCGCAAGGGATACAGCGAGCAAAACCTGGTGTTAAACCTCGCATCGCAAATGATACAGCTCGCTAAGTAGTACCTCGCGTTAGCCTCGCATCGCACGGGTTACAGCGAGATACAGCTTGTTTTTGCCTCGCGTCGCGCGGGTTATCGCGAGGTCAGTTTTCTTTGCTTTTCAATACCACGCATCATACCTCGCCCAACCAGACCACCAGCTCGCTATGGACCTCGTGTCACATGGGTTTTAGCGAAGTCCACCTCGCGGTAGCCCTCGCATCACCTGCTTCTCCGCTCGCTAAGGAGCTCGCGTCACCTGCTTCTAAGCTCGATAAGGAGCTTGCCTCGCCAGGTAAATTTATAGCTGGGAGCTTGCGTCGCTAGGTAACGTGTTTTAATTTTTTAAGCTTTGTTTTCTAACTTCTTTTCTATTAAAACACTACAGAAACACACATTCCTCACTCAACATAATACATTGCCTGTCCTTTTTCCCTTCCCATCATACACAAATTTCATTGAAGACGATTTGCATCCACTCTTTCATTCACTTGAGACATCAATTGAAGAACACGTCAATCCTCCTAAGCATCTAAAGTATGTTTCTAACTCTTTCCTCTATCAAAAATTCAAATTGAGTTAAGAAATGCAATTCCACCACTTTTGGGTATATATTCATAGCTACAATGTGCTTGCTCGCCCTAATCCTATAAACCCCATAGGATTGGTATTGTTGTTGGGTACAAGGGCGATAACATGAAATTCCCAAGCCGATTTGGGGAGGGTGAGGCAATCCCTCATCTTTACAACCACTTTGATAACACTAGTGCACGCTAAGTGTTTGTCGAAATGCCTCAAAGGCACTCTTTGCCCAAATGGAGTTCTGGTCTCCAGGATTATAATACTTGTGCTAAGTTGCAATGCACCACTCCAAATTGAAAATTTAGTTGGGCTCAACAGCATCTACATGCATAGCAATTGTGGGAAACACCATTTTGCCATTGCTTTATTCGCATGCTAAAATAAAGAGGTGAAGTCTAAGTAGCCTCAAAATGGTTGAACATCATGTCGTGAACTCTTAAGTGTGGGGTTGCAAGATCATGTTTTGAATTGATTCATATGCTTTATCATTGAGGAACATTCACTTATGCAGGTACAAGTATGCCTCCTAAAAAAGACGATGGTAAAGGCTAGGGCAAGGCTACTGTTCCAACTAAGGCCAAGGCTTCTTCCGAACCACCACCGAAAAAGAGAAAAGGTGGGGAGGCCACTTCAAGCCAAGTTGAAGGGTTGCAAGCAGTTGCAGCGATAGCATCCACATACCCACAACCTGAGGGATAACGAGAATTTGGACTGAAGAGCATACCTCAATCTGCCAAGAATTGGTACAAGCTTTGTCGGCCGAGACATATACATTCTGAGTCAGCTATTCTTGAGTGACGCCTACAAGCTAAGTACCAATCAATTTGGAAAGATATTCATGACCTTGGCTTAAGCTACGTGTTTAGAAACACCAGGGAGATAAATGTCAAGCTTATTCGGGAATTTTATGCCGGTTTTGATCCGAATGATCCTGAGCAGCTGGTGCCTATTAGAGGAAGGTTGATCGATTTTTCGGCAACAACTATATGCAATTTTTTGGGAGCTCCAGATATTCCACAGGAACCCTTGGACAACTTCATCACCCGTCCTACATATCAGGCATTGAGACATACTCTCTATGGTGTCAATTCTGTGGCTGCTTGGGTTCGTGACAAGAAGACCCAACGCCATAGGAAATTTCCAAAGAAAAAAATGAAGCCGGAAGCTCAAGTGTGGCTGAAATTAATCAACACGCAACTATTACCATGCAATCATGAGGCTCTTATAAGCCGTGAAAGGATATGCATGTTGTACTTCCTCATGACTGGCAAGAAAGTGAATGTGGGCCACTTAATACGCTACCAGATGTCCCAGGTGAGAAAAAGCAAGCACATTGACAGATTGTCCTTTGCCAACATGTTGACTCAGTACCTGCGCAAAGAAGAGGTGGATGAGGAGCGGGATTTTGATAGATCCATTCCTCCACCCCTCAAACTAATGGACATCACAAGCATACAGGTGAAAGAGGAGAATGCCGTAGCCATAATGACAGGTGCCGAGTGCAATGATCGAGATGACAGCCTTACGGCACGTCTATATGGTATGATGGATTTACAGCTCAAGATTGGGGGAAGGCCGGCCACTACTGAAGAGAGGGCAACCTTGGAGGAGCGTTATACGCTCAATTCTCATGCACAACAGCTAGTTAGGCTTGGCGATGGGCAGCGACTCCCAGATGATGAGGATGTCAACACATCAGTATGTTCCGAGGCCGAGCCAGAGCAGTCCGACGAGGATGATGATGATGATGCTGAGGGAGAAGAGGATGAGGACTGGACAGGTGCATATGGAGCCTTCGACGATGAGGGAGAGGACGATGTCTGATCGGGGAGTTTTTCCAACCACCTTACATGTTTTTGTGTTTATGAATTTATATATGCATTGAAGACAATGCATGATCTAAGTGTGGGGTGGAAGGTATTCTCTATCATTTGTAAATATTAGATAAACTATTTAGTTCGTGTGTTTAATGTTTATTTTATTTTTGTATTTCCCCTTATTTAATAAATAAATAAAAGTAAAAAAAAATGAAATGACTGGACTTTTTCCGACGATGGATCTCTTAGGCAGTTTTCTTGAGGGACTTAAGTCTAACAAAAAAAAGAAAAAAAGAAATATATATATNTGTGCATCGGTTCTTTTCCACTGGATGTAGTTGAACCGGGTAGTAGTTTTTGTTTTGTCTTTAGATTGGAATAGAATTTAGGGAATAAAAGAAAGGGAAAATGAGAAATGCTAGGCGTCTTTGACTAGTTTGATAGTAGCATATTTAGGCTCTAGCATGTGTAGTACCTTCCCTATGGTTTGAAAATGTTTATTATGACTTGTTGAGTAATAACATGTTTATTGACGCATATATCTCATTTTCTTGGCTTGTGTCACTTTGTGTTTGATGCTTAATATTTTGCGGCTCTGTAAATACTTGCAATTGTTTGAGAATAGGAATGGAATCGTCCTTGGTGAGTCATGTGCCATGTGTGGTGAGAAATTGTATAGTCCGTGTCATTGCATTAGAGTCTGGAACTTGCCCGACATGTGAGTTGAAGTGAAATTTTAGGTTTTTCTCGGTTTGAAAAATAATTTTAGGTTTTCTTTGATATTTTTGAACTTAATTCCTACCACAAATAAAATTTATCCCTAGTCAACCCTTTTGAGCCTATAGACTTTTATTTGGCAACCACACTACAAGCCTATGCTCATTTGTTCTTAATTAATATTATTTTAATCCGTGTACCTCGTAAAGTACTTTAATTGGGGTGACTTTCGAGTAGAACCAATGAAAGAAAGAAGGGTGCACTTATTTTGTAAAATAATACACACTAGCGGAAGCTAAAAAAAAAAATTTGTTCTTGCTAGTGGGTGTGAATTAAAGTAGTGCTTAAAGAAAGAGGAAATACTTCGGGAATGCAGTTGGGTTGAAGAAACATGCGCTTAAATTTAATTATGTGATGTGTTAAAGTGTTTAGGAGGGTTAGTCACTATTCTTAAATTTATTCTACCCGTCCTTAAGCCAACATTACAACCATAAAAAGTCCTAATTGATTTTAGATCGAGCAAGCCTACATCAGTAGAGGTTTACATAATGGGCAAGCCTATGGTACTTTGTGCATGCTTGTGACTTCTTTGTGAGAGTAAGAAATTTCTTTGATATATGAGAATCCTTAAAATATATTTGAGCATTTGATTCGAATGTGTGGATTCAACTTACTCTCTTGTTCTTGTTGTGAGGGCACATGATTTTGCAAGGGATATGTGACATTATTAGATTTCTCTATGATGTTAAGTGTTCAAGCCATGAATCATTGTGATATTGAGTCGGATTGTGAGGATAGGATTGTTAGAAACATGTTGTCCTTTTGTTGAATAAAGATTTAAAATATGGCGTAAAGTAAAGGGAAATGTGTGTCGAAGACATATGCTAAAGTTTAATTGCTGCTATCAACCATAGTCATAGGTATGGTGTGCTTCAGATGTGCTAAAAGAAAATAAAAGTGCTCTAGGAATTGGTGGTTGACTCGAGGAGGAGCAACGTTTAAGTGTGGGGTGGTGATGTGATGCCAAAATGCTATACTTTTAGCACATTACTCGCCCTATATTTTGTTGATCTAATGAGTTATTGTGCGATATTTGAGCTAAATCATTTTGTTTTATGTGTAGGAACATCGTAAGGAATCATCAAATGAAAATTGCACAAAAAGAGGACACAAATACAAGAAAAGAGCACAAAAGCATCAAGTATCCAAACTATGCTACAGACCAGGCTTTGCAAGGTCTATAGCCAGGTTGACCGTGCTATAGACCAGGCTTTGCGAGGTCTATAGCCAGGCCGACTGCGTTATAGACCAGGCTTCGCGAGGTCTATAACACGGTAATTAAAAGTCACGGGTTAAAAGACCCAAATCCGAAATTGGACCGGGGGATTGACATAAATACTCACCAAATGAGTTATTCTAGGGTTGGACATGATTTTGGAGAAGAAATAGGCTGCCAAGCATTGTGGAGCAAGAATCAAACGAGTTTTCCCTTCCTTTATCTCTTTACTTTGTAGTTTCGTGTCTTTAAACATTATGTTGATTGTTGTTGTATTTATGAGTAATTAAACTCTTTAATCTAAGGTTTGATGGAACCTATTGGAGGATGATTCTTTACTGCGTTTAATATAGATTTGCCTTTGATTTTTCTCTACTTGTTCAACTATATTTTTATTGTTGTTAATTGAATGGCCATCAATTAACTGTGCCTATTTAGTGTGTATATTGCTCGAGAGAGAGAGTGCACATTTAGGTAGTTGTTGAACAACACCACTCTTAACGTAGTTGAGAGATCGATCCGGAGGGTTTAAAGGCGAGATTAGAAATAACGAAGCCTTGGTGCAATCGTCGTGAGCGGTAAATTAGTGCCATCTATCGTTGTTCGAGAGAATACGTCTAGTAAAT